CCATGCAGCATTTGTAGACAAAGCTCATCTCCAGCCCTCACTGTGATGCAGGGGGCAAGGTGCAGGGTAGGACACACTGTGTGCACCAGATATCCCTGAAAAACTGTATCCCAGACACAGGAGTCTTGCACTGAGTCTGTCAGAGTAAATGAGATGCAAAAGACCCTGTCATAGAAGTCTGCTTTCGGGTAATGCCCATTTTGTTTCCTTTCCTCCAGCAGACAACCTGCTCCTCCATACCAGCGCCGCTCCAGGCTCCACCCACAGCAGCACAGCCTTTTGGGTGGGAGCTGGGAAATCCTTTAGACCAACGTTGATCATAGTTTTCACTTGTCATTAGCATTACACCATTGCTGATGCACTGGTTAAACTCGGTACAACCCTCCTGCAGATTGTTTGAACAGACAAGACCTATCAGGCTGCTGGTGCAGCTGGGAGCTCTGCCATTAGCCTCTGGCTACTAAGGGTGGTTCCACTGCAGATGTTTGATAAAGCACTATGGTAAAACCCATCATTCAGATGGACAAATTCTGGTGAGGAAGCACCTGACACTTTTGATCTTCTGGCCTTATAGCCAGATCAGGTAAGCTGAAGGGATCAGCTCTCAATGATTAATTGGAAAAAATAAACCAGAGAACTACCACATCCCCTGGCTATTCAAACATACGGATGTTTCAGCTCCGATTTTTACTATTTAAATAGCAATAAAATTGTCACTGCTCACAGTAATTCATTGAACTTTTGCTCTCATTTTCTTCTAACATAAGAATTTGGCCACATAAATTAATGAAGAGCTCAGAAGGCTGATTTAGCCCCAAGCCCAGGCTCAACTACCATCCCAAGATTATACTTGGTTCATTACAGGAGAAAGCTGAAGCACAGAGCACACCAGGTGAAACACAGCAAGTCCACCTCCCTTCTCCCAGTTACAGAGCATGCCTTGCAGAGCAAATCCATCTCAAATTTCCTCTCCTAAGGGCAAACTCCATGCAAACACATACACAATTCATCTGCATCTCCCATTTCAGCCAACATATCCTCCGATGATTTTAGGCCTCTCACTCCTATAATTAACAGAAGATTCATGCTTCCTCTTTACCCATCCATTGCTCTATCAGATAGAGCAGAAGAGTCAAAAACAATTGGGTTATACTGGGTTCTGTGCCTAAATGTCTGAGCCTATTTTGTGCAGCAGATCCAACAGGACACAAATTAGATACCCCTTGGACAAATAGCAGCAGATCGGAGGCATAGCCTTAAATTAGAAATGCTAGCACAGCTGCAGTCATTTGTAGTGAAAAGCATCCCAAGATCTTTTTAGTCTTTCCTCAGAAACCCATCACAATGCGAGCAGAAATAACTTTGTGCTGTGCTGGCAGCAGCATGTCTTCTATCTGCTGCTTTCAATCTGTGGCTTCTGCCAGCACAGCCTGCAGTATCATCTTCAGCTCCAGGTTCAGCGCTGCCTGAAGGAAGGGTGGCCAGCACTGACATACTCCCATAGCTATCAAAGCACACAGTGCCAAACATCCCTAATATGTTCCTACCAGGCTACTATTTCCCACTCTGCCATAAGGTGCACCTACCTCTACCAAACTCGCCAGTAGTTTTGGTGTACTGGGGACATTTCCCAATCCCAGTGAACCCGCTTGCTCCTGGGTGTTACTAAAAGCACCTGGGTTTACACAGCAAGTTGGTGGCACCAAGGTCTGCAAGGGTGATCTGTGTAAGAGGCCAGGGGCCATGCGGAACGGATACGCTCAGTTCTGGCCAGCTGCACAATGGCCCACTACAGGACACAGTGAGACCATCAGCCAGGCTGGTAGTACCTCTGAGGAAAGACTGAGGAAAACAACCCTGCAAAACATACAGATCACAGGAGGGGTGGGAAGGAGTGCTCCAAATGCCAGAATGGAGATTGGCCCCACAGGCTTTGAAGACCATCATGGCAAAGCGGGCTGCTTCCCTGCAGTCCATCAGGGCAGACCTCCATGCTGCAGACAATGGAGGATCCCAAACTGAAGTAAAAGCATGAGGAGAAAGGAGTGTGGGGGGAACTGCTATGGACAGATGGCAACTCCCAACTCCCTGCCCAATCTGCACCACTAAAGACAGTGGAGGGAAGGTAGAAGAGCCAGGAGTAAAGTTGAGACTGAGAAGGGAGGGCTTGGGTAAAGGTGTTTTTAGTTTGTTCTTCCTCACCACTCACCCCTATTTTTAATTGGCAATAAATTGATGTGCCTGAAATGACTGCTAAGTCATCCCACGGTCGTTATCTCAACCCATCAAGCTGCTCCATCTTACTCTCTCCCCCATCTCCTAACAAGGAACATAAGAGTGACTGAGTGGAGATGTGGCAACAAAGTAAGGCCAACCCAAAAAACACACAAAAAGGGGATGGTGGGAGGAACAACACAGTAAGGAAAGTAAATGTGGATTTCAAATTGTCACTAAACAAACAACCTTCTTTCTACTTCTACAATGATGAACCAAGAGAAGAGCAGGAAAAAGGTTTTCTTCAAAGAGAAGTTGTACAATGCTCCACTTCAAGTCCTCTTCTTATTCTCTAAGAATACCTCCTTGGACTGAGCTGAAACAGATGTTTTATTTCACAAATCTAAGCTCAGTTATTAACCCCTTCAAATGTCTTTTTGAAAGACTGACACTTTCTTTAAGCAAATGGCTCACACCCCTCTCAACAACTGTTGCTTGGTTTTGTTTTCAAGGCATTGATTTGCTGGTATAAAGGATGACGAAAAGGCCCCTTCAAGACAGTATTCTGGCTACTAAACAGCAGAGTTATTTCTTATGAAAAGTAATTTGAAAAGAACAAAACCAACAGGTATTCCTTCTCAACCTCATAAGCCACGCGCTAGATTAAATGTAACACTTCATTAGGTAGGGGGAAAACCATGGTTTAATTACAACAGTGTAGCATGAACACTTTAGTAGTCGATACCAGGATATTATCGTGATGTCTAAGCTAAACTTGACTTCTCCACAGACACTGTAAACAGACACCCTAAATGCACTAAATAATTGGCATTAAGAAAGTTTATACAAAGGCAGTCAGTTGTTTAATCTTTAAGATGCCATGACATGGTGAGACAAACACGCATACATCAATAAGTACAGAGAAATGTTATGCTACATTTTGGACAGTTCAGAACTGAAAGTGCTTCACATCTACAGGATAAGAAATGGCTTCATCTCCTCATCCCTAAATGATGAGAGCAAAGAAATAACCCTTCAATAGGTTAAATAAACAGTGCCCCTTTTATCCATGCTTACATAAAGTTTCCAACAATTCAGAAGGTCCATGGCGAAATTTACACTCTATGTACAGTATAACAAATTGTAAAAGAAAAACGTTCAGATATTCCTTGGTTCCCAAAAGCCTGAATCTCGCTCTCTGTGCTAGAGCTAAGGACAAGAGCTACATATAATATTAGGTGGGTTTGGGTTGGTTGGTTTTTTTTGTTTGTTTTTTAATCTTTTTTTTCTTTTTCTTTTTCTTTTTTTTCTTTTTTTTCTTTTTTTTTTTTTTTTTGTAAAAATTCATCATCCCAATCCACCTCAAATAAAATCAGTCCCCAGGTTCTGGTCATATTTAACAACTGCTTGATCCCAGTGTTTAAGGCATGTTCATTAGATATCAGTATAGGGGTACTGTCAGAAATTATCTTAATCACAGGTACTACGTGTCAGCAAATTTACACAGCAATGCTACTCTTTACAATACGATGTAAAACAAGGTTGTGTTATGATCCAAGTTGTTCCTGAGTTAAAATTTGCTAAATACTGCTAAGATTCATGTTCTCCTTTTATACTTCCTCTGGAATGTCCTTTCACATAACGCACAATTGAAAGTTAAAACTCAATCTGAGAACAGCTTTGATGTCAGAAGTAAAAGTGTTAGCAAAATTTTAATTATGTCATTCTCGACCCTAAATTTAGCCAATTAGCCATGAATTTGCAGGGCTTAATATCACTTAGCTTTTAGCAAGACTATTTTCTAAGGATGAAGATCATTGTAAATGCCAGCACACATTTCTGTGCAACTGCTAAGATTTTGCTAGGAAAAGATTTTGCGATCAAGAACTGCCAAAACCCTAAAGTTCAGTGAGTATATTTAACTAGATATTGCAGACATTCTCAAGTTTTCTTACCCAGTCTGCTCCTTTAGAACTAAGGGAAGAAATCAGAGGAACACAGATGAAAACACTACAGATCTATTCAGCTTTTAAAATCAGACAAGTAGTTCAGATTAAGTACCCATTCTCACTGAATTCTGCAGTAATGTAATCATTAATGTTTTTTCCTATTAAAAAAAAAGAGAAAGCTATTCACATTTTTTCTAGAAAGAACAGCTTTAAGAGCATTTTTTCATTAGATTCACAATATGCACGATAATTTTTACCACCCTAACCATTTTGGCATCAATTCATTACAGTTTACACAAACATTTGCTTACACTTAAGGAGAATTAACGGGCAGCAGAAAATCAAGATGGCAAAAGGTGCAACTTGGGTCTGCACTATACCTGCACATCTGCTGTCAAGTGAAGAAAAACTCCTGAGAAAGCTGTACCACCTACAGTGTGACCCACAGTTTGCTGAAATCAAGGGGACTCTTACAATGAGCTTGAATGGGTATTTTAAGTGCTCCAAATGAAGTTCAGCATTTGTGGTGATGTAGCATCTCCTACTTTAAAAAAAGAAACAGATTGTGGTAATTGCACCTAGCAGACTAGGGAATAAAAATGTTCAGGTATGTTCATGATATGCATTTCCCAATCTGTCAGTGATGCAAAAAAAATGAATTACAGTACGATGAAAAAAAAAAAATCGTATTTCCAAATTGTTTCCATTTAACTCCTAGCAGGACAGAAACCAGCAGTATGCTGAGAAAACAGGGTGGGAAAGGAACGACTACATCCACACTTTGGGAATTCCAACCCAAATCTTAAACAGTGGTGAAAAAAAACAAAGCTCTGAGTGAAGTTTGCCCTGGCCCATGCACCTTATGCAAAAAAAAAAAAAAAAAAAGTTAGCTAGAATTTAATTGTTGTGACCATAAAAAATAAATAGCAACAATTTATTCACAAAATTATGGATTAGATTGATTTTTTTTTTTTTTTTGCTTTAACAAACTGTATGATCCATTAAATTACCAGCCAGCTGTATGCTTAAGCACAACAACAACAAAAAAGTAGTACATAAACACCTAAAAATCACAGTCAAAAAGCAGGCAAGTACATCAGTCTTCTGGTGGCCAAAGCACAACAGATTAGTCTGCCAAATGAAAGTACATGAACATAAATCGTGGGCATTAGTGTCGTTAAATTTTGTTTCCACCATCAATAAACGATTTCCTGTAGTTTAATACTGTTTCTAAGCAATTGTAAACTGCTTCAAACGTATGTGCAGAGATAAATAACAGGAAAGGATTTAAATACACTGGTCAATAGGAAAAACAAGTTTTTAAATTTGCATGTGTGACGAGTGAGCATTCTGGAGCAAATCCATAATTAGCCACAAAGAACTCTGACCCTTCTTAGCTAAGACAGTACTGCCACCTTTCTAACACTTGTGACCGTTGTAAGAACAAGAAGGAAAAAAACAACATATCAGCCCTGATATACCAACCACATATGCATTCAAAATTACAGATATTTACAAGAAAAATATATATATTTAATTAAAAAGCCACTGAAAAACATGGACTTTTAGTCAGATGCTGCACTTTCTGCAAAATGAGGTAATTTAGATGCAAACAAATTAAGTTTAGTAGAGTTCAGGATCCACAGTCTCCAACACCTAGTGTACAGATTGCTTCAGTGAATGGCTTGACTGTTTCTATATGTTCAGAGCAAGAAATCACCAGATCCAGTTAAATCCTGTTTTGTAGTGCTCTTGATGCAACACTGACTAATGTCAGAAGGCTTCCCAGCTCAGTTTTACAACTGGTCTTTCAATAGAAAGAAAAAAAATAGTTATAAATTGGTTTCATCCCAAGATGGATCATTCATGTTCTTTAGAACTTTTCTAACAAGCTTCTCCAAGTCCTTGCGAGCTCTTTGTTCTTCTTCTAATGATTTCTTCATCTTTTTGTTGTCCTGTTTAACAGAGATAGAACTATTAGTTTCGGGTTGAGGGTTGGTGGGTTTTTTTTCGTTTTGTTTTAAGAAAAGATCTTTTCTGACCACACACACTATCAATTACAAATTCAGAAGTGTGTTATTAGCTGTTTACAAGTACAATTTTAATAAAAGTTAACACGTGACAGTTGCTTCACACAGCAAAACTAAAAACAGAGATTGAACTATTTGCTATTTATTTGAAGGACCTGAGGGTCCTTCATAATGCAAGTGCCAGTAACAAATGGCCAGTAATCTTGAATTCTTCTGCCCAAAACTAACCAACAGCAGCAGAATGTCTCTTGTCAATGGAGGACGGAAACAGAGCAACAACAGTAGAATAAGTATCCCCCTAAGAACTTCCTGTAATTATACCTAGCTTTAAAATCCTAGAAAAGCATCTGAAAGCTTAATGCATATTAGCTTCCTTCAGTGAGTAAGCAAACAGTTGAAAGTACCACCTCAAAAACTGTTATGTTCTCTGACAAGTGTTTTGTGACCGAAGTTTAACACACACAAATACCAATAATCTAAGACGATTCTGAATTTCACCAAAGACCAGTGCTGAGAATATCCACTAATGCACCAAAATACCACAAACAACAAGACTGTAAGGATGTTTCTGACCAAATCACAGCAATTCTTCCATTTGTTAATCCAGAAGAGGCCAAGCTGATGCTGACAACAGTGGAGAAGCAACCCCACTGAAGATGAGACAAGGCCCTCAAGACAAAGGGTCTACGGGTGTTTAACACAAGCAGGTGTGCAATCCAGGGGTCCCACTGGACTCCCATCAGCTGTCATTTACAGAAATTTCAAGAAACAGAACAAGATGGCAGTTGCCTACATTCCCTCCTCAAATTTTTGAAGAACTCAAGAAATTTCAACCTTTTCTTGTAAGTACAGACAATTTCACTTGTTGCCAATTCAGGAATGTACTACTAAGAACAAGTGATGAATAACTGATGGAAACCACTATGAGAAGGATCCTATGTTGTGGTTCAAACTTGGACCTACACCAACTAGTCCACCATGTACTCCCAGACAGCTTTTATGCATGAACTTTGGGGTCATTTAAGACCTTCCCAGCTCAGAGATTATTTTTGCCACTTCTCCACCTGGTGACATCAGAACAGCAGACCAAAAATGGTCTTCTAAGCTAACATCCCTGATACTACAAGAAAACAAAGGTGGCCTTTAATAAGTCTTGGCCTTGGAAGATGCCAGATTACAAAGTGTATTTGAAAAGGAAAAAAAAGAAGCTGTAAGTTCAAGAGAGGGTGACTTTTTGCTTAGGATCACAGAGACATCAGCACAGCCTCAATGAGGCAGAACTTCTACCCTTTGTACAGAAGCAGCCAGGCCACAGAAATATTACTGAATTATTAATATTACTTGTACTGTATTTCTAAAAAGACTGCAAAATTTACAAACCTAGAATACATGTTTCAATGTAGACTGAAAACAGCAAAAATACATCAACCGTCTTGTTTCAAGAAACAGGCATAACACCCTTAAAAATACTGGGAATATTTACAGATGGGCAAAGAATTCAGATACACATTTAGAGCTCAAAAATTGAAGTAATTTGAATACAAACACATTTTACTTTAACACAGGAGATTTTATCTGGTTTCAGTTAAAATCAGTTTGCAAATTCACGCATTGGAGAATGGGTTAATTCAATTCTTTTTCACCAGTTTTGAGAACTGAGTATGTAAAGTAGCATATAAATATGGTTTAAACAGGCTTTGTCCTGTCAATAAAAGATTTTTACAGTAACTCATTTGGATATATAAAACATGCTTAGAATATCAGCTGCAACTTCCATACTAGCAACTGAAGTGTAATATACTGCAATTTCCCACATGACAAACAAGCACACTAAGCTACCCCTAGGGTTGGACCTCATTAAAAAAGGCACATGATAGGCAGAGAACAGGATTCTAACTCCTGAAATGAGTATTTGTAGGAGGTGTTCAGGTTACTGGAAGACTGTAAATCGAAGCCTAAGTAAATCCAAATAATTATATTATTAAAAATCAAGAGCAAATGCAATTTCAGTCTCTACGTACTTATTTTGCTTGCAATACACCAGAGCTCAATTTAATGCTTTAAACATTTCAAAAGTTGTAGCATCCAAAAATCAATGAAACATAACTAAATCCCCTTAGACACAGGATACATCATGCTCCTCCCAAAGGCTACTAATGACAACCACAAAAGATGGTGGCTATCTCTCAAATTGGTGTTGCTTACTTTTAAAATTGAATCTCAGATATGAATTTAGTCCAAAATCAGAGTTAATTCCTATCAAACTAAATCAACTTACAACCTGCATTTGTTTCAATAACAAGCCTTATCTTTCCATTCTCCATGTTGCTATATATGTAGCAAGTTACTAACCTGTCTTAACTCCTGTACTTCATCCTTTAATGCATATACTGTGTCAACAAGGCTTCTAAAATGAAAAAAAGATCATCTGTTACAATGATTTTCAAAATGATGTTTAAATCTACTATTAGACAAAACTGTTAAGTGAAATCTGTTCAACTTTGTGTTAAAAATTCTCTCATCCTGATTTATATTCTTTAACAGCAGCAAGGGCCCACCATCAGCTTCTCTGAACAGGTTACACCCCTCAAACACATACTGACCTACAGTAGTTCCTATATTATAGCTTTCTTTAACAGGAAGATATTCAACTTCTAAAATGCACCTTAACAAAAGAAAACAGAATGACACCACACGCCAACTAGAAAGACAACATCAATTTAATAATGAAATCTTAAAGCACTTGGAAAAACTATTTACAAGTGAAGCATAACATTCCGGGGCATAAAAGGAATAAACTGAGTACCATTTGCAGAGAAGTTGGGCAACAAGCATTTAAATGAAGGCCAACTGCACTCACAAGGACTGGCAGCATACTCCAAGCACCTACATCCCCTTCTATTTATATACCATGCACATTGCAGTAAGAAATGGGAGGAGGAAGAGAAGTGCAAAGTTTACGGTTTCAATCTATCATTCATTAAATGTTCTCTTACTTCTCTTCTATAACAGTCTGACCATTACTTTTAGTTTCTTCTACAATGATTTTCTCTTCTTCTGGAAGCAGGACTTGAGGAGCTGATTCTTTGCGGGAACCTGTTGTAAAAATAGATTACAAAATGAGAAGCTAGCAAGCAGCACTGGGGAATTTTAATCATCATTTCATTCATTGCACAATACACCCGCATGACCAAGGTATATCACTTTCAATTCCCCCCCTTCCCTTCATACACACAGATTACTGATGTTTTTATATTCGAAACCACAGCCTTACAATTAAAAACTATAGTCTAACATTTCCATCCTGGTGATGATAACTCCTCTGCATTATTGATGGGGATGCTACACAGTTCAGTGAATAGGGCACTGGTCAACTATCAGCAAGATCTATACAAATTCACCATAGCTGAGTCAGGGAAAGATAATCATGATTAAGAAGTAGCAATTTAAGCCTCAAGGACAGATTCTGATCTCACATTGATACAAATCCAAAATGGTACAATGACAGAAAAGTTAAAAACATTTTCCCCAGAACACCACAAACAACACAACTGCATATGTGTATAGACACAAACATGCACATATGCTTTAAGACAATCTTTTAGTCACATAAATGTAATACAGCCACCATATTTTAAAATAAGCTTTCAGAAGTACTTAATGGCTTAACAAACAGTCAAAACCTTCTAACATCTTCAGAATACTTTCTATAATCGTTACAGTTTTTAATATTAAGATAATTCATACAAATTCTAACGGTGTAGCTCATAATAGAAGAATCCAATTGCTGTGCATCCATTCATAAAGTATGTACTCTAAAAACACTACTTAGACTGCAATAAATTTTTTAAAGATGGGCTGTAAACTGCTGCCTAAACATTTGTTTAGAATTCAAATACCATAGATAAGACATTAAAATTCTTGCATATTTTGACTAATACACAAGTATTAACAATGTATGCTTGCCTACCAATTCACCGTAAGGAGTTTTTACTAATGAAGAATATCTCCATTCCAGCACTGTTTGCACAGCTCAACAGGTATGGCAGAGTTACATGCCTCCAGGAGACAGCCCCCTCTGAACAGCTGTTTTGTGATAACAGTGTTTCTCTTTCAAAATCCATGATAAAACATCTGACCTCAGCACACCAAGTCAAAGAAATTCAAGCTCACTGGGAAATCCTGACTTTCTAACAGCTGCAGTCTTGTGTTCTAAACAATGAGTTTGTAGAGAACATAGTTTTGCAGCACATATTAAGCTCATTAGACTGTTGTTTAAACATCTGTAACATAGAAATTAGTTTCCTTAACCTGAAAGTAAAGATCAAACATATCAGTACATGATGGTCAAACTTCATGGAATAAAGACAACTGAGCATCTGAGAACAGAATCTCGTCCTTGAAAGCCATAAATTCTTGATCTTGCGAAGTGAACAAAAACTTTGGAATTAATAACCTGCCTCATTTTGCAGGGAAGGAGCAATCTACAAAACAAGCACAGCAAATCAGGCTCATGGATGTTTGTTTGCACTATCAATCTTTAGCTGCAAAAAAGTCACCTTATGTTTATTTTAATTAATTGGTTACCTCTTTGCTTCATTTGACCGAGACGTAACATTTTGCATTTAATGAAATGTTACTTCAGGATGTTAGTTGGCACCAGCTACTACTAAATGCTGAGTCTCTGTATCAATCCTTATAATCCAATGCAGTTATATACACACATGCATGTAAAAGTCTACACTGGCATATCCTCATCCATGTACAATAAACAATACTACTGAGACAGAATACACTGCTTCATGAAAATAAAACCAACACCAACATTATACACACAATGAGACCCACAATACACATACACACAGTTACACAAGGTAAACTGCTCATGCGAACACTGGCTTTCCTGTGCCACAGAATATCGACTACTGCAGAATTCAGGACATCACAAGTGTGACCCTCACCTTCACTGCTCTCATGTAAACAGAAAGTTGCTTTTTAAACCCCGTATGCACTTGCTAACTATCAAAGGCACAAACACATAGGTCATGTATCCTGCAACAAAGGAGGATCTTGTTATCAACTGAGTACATGCACAGAAGTGTCAGGTTTGATGTGTCAGGTCCCATTTGAGGTGTTAAGTTCAAAAAGCAAAATGAAGCTATGTAATTGTCCTGCTTTTTTTGTAACATTTATGCCTAAAGCCCTTATTTCTTTTCTGCATCTCGAATGAACTTCAAACAGAGCATTACTTGGTAACTAGCATTCAGCAATATACCACATACTAATCCTTCGGCCTCCACCAGCTTCTCAGGGACTCCTTGTAACTATTTCTCTTCAGAAAGGATTACAAGCTACAGCTCTAGGACTTGAAGAGAGAGCTGCATTTGAGTACATTGCAGGCTGTGCACAGAGCTGTACTAAGAGGACAGGTCAGGAAGTTGTCACAACTTCAGTAATCCTAGATACTGAGCACACAAGAATCCCTAGTCCAAGCCAAACAGGCAAAAAGAGAAGGTTCGACTGACCACCAAAAATTCTGCTCCTAAATCTCCTGAGATGATTCAACCAGAAGTCCTAGGTTAAAAATAACTATAGTGGAAAAAAAAAATCTCAAGCTTTACTAGAGAGGTTTAGTTTTGTTTTACTTTTTGGTGGAGATGTTAAATGAAGGGAGGAAGAGGGATGTGCAGCAAACTCAAATGACTGCTTCATGATCAGAGAAATATAAAAGCTGAGGAAGCTGCCATAACTTTTCAGTAGGGAAACTTATAAATCCAGAATCTTGGAAGAATGAGAATCCCATGTTGAGTGCTTTGTAATTAAGACAAAGGCAAAATAAGAAACCACTGACATTCAACCTTCACTTAGATGCCAGCAAGAAAGTAAAGGTTCAGCTTTAGTATTTCCCAGCCCTAGAGTGGTAAACAAAGGGTTACAGTGCTTCTTACCAATACTGCACCCTAAATTGGAGATTGAGTTTGCTAAGCCAATAGAATCAAGCAAACAGTAATATAGCCCACCAGGCCTTGAGGCCTTTGCAACACACACACGTGACACACAGAGCAGGCCTGTCAGTAGCAAGCAGTTCTCAGCACGTCTAAAAAAAAAAAAAAAAAATGAACCCATTAAGCCAATAACAATATGAAGGCGGGTATTCATTTCCCATTCTTTATGCTGCTAAATTCAGGTCTCGTTTCAAAGCTTGCTCCCCTCATAAGTCAGAGAACAGAGCTCTTTCTTCCACTTAGCCGTTCTGAGCAGAAGGCACAACCCAGGTACTTTACATTCACAGTGATGCTATGAGTTTGCCTTCTTCCCAGAGATTATGAGGTTCTACTTTAAGCTAGAAAGTTAGATTCGCAGTGATGGTGGTTCACTTAAAAAACAAACAAACAAACAAAACCCTGAGAATCTCAGACCATCGAGTTTTTACTGCACAACTTCAAAGAATTGCAATTTTATACTTTTTCATACCCTTAATATGATTGGGGAAGGGGGTGAATAATGCACAATAAAAGGTCAAAAATTAGAAATAGTATTTACGGATGTATAGCTGTTTTCTACCGACTTTACTAAGCTCTCTACATAAGCTACATAGATGTAAATTATTTCAAGTTTCAGAGGACAGAAGTCTGACTTGCCACTGAAAGACAAATACAAGGGCAGCCCGAAGAGTAATGCCTCCTATCTTATTTGTTGGCCCACAAAGTCAGAGGAGGACATTGGTGGTTCAGCAGCAGGGGTTGAACCTTCCCACCAATACCCCATTACACGTTGTTGCCCTGCAACAGATGGCAGCAGAGGGGCAATGTGACACACGGTGCCTGACACAGAGCTGTGTAAGAGGCAAAGGTGTGCAAAAGAATTCCTCCCTGCAGGAAAAAAACTGCCATTCAGAGACACGCACTGAACATTTATGGACAACAAATGGTGGATGTGAGATGTGAGCACCCTGAGGCACTGAGCAGTGCATTGCAGCAATGGTGACAGCAGCATGAAAGACAAGCCACGCTCCTGACAGTCATGCAGACCATTAAATGCATTGCCCAGAGCCTCTTGTTCACTGATGGCAAAAATGAGTAGCTAATGATGGTGACGTTATTGAAAAAGTGTTCTGTAGCTGAGAATTTGCTCTATCAAATAATAATATTGTGCTCTTTGTATCTGTTACAGCTTTCATGGAAATTAACAGGAGGCATTGCTTTCAGAGCGACCTATGCATGTTCATACACAATTTTTAGACAAGTTAGCCACTGGGTGTATTCAGACACATCATTTCCCTGTGGAAGGAAATGTTTAACAGAAAATAAGAATCACTTATTTAGAACACAGTTTTTCACTGTATTAGTCACATTCAAGATGCTGAAGTGGATAAGCAGACCTGCAAAATTCATCTTCTGTTTCTCACTGCATTTGATGTCAAAGCTTCCAAGCTGTGTGTGTTGACATTAAAAGAATTGAGAGGAAAAGAAAGGCAATCCTTCACGCTATAGATCTGTCAGAAGTCAAAAGGGAGTCTGCCCTTAAATATCTTGTGCAAAAATACACAACTTCTTTGTGAAACCTTCAAGTAGCAAAAAAAGTCTAGCACAAAAATGGTGTTGTTTTTTTTTTGTTTTCTTTTTTGTTTTTGTTTTTGTTTTTGTTTTTTTTTTTTAACTAGCAGCAATTCACAACTAGGAAAGAACCCACAAGACTCAAATGACAGATCTAGGCAGTTTACAGCAAAACATTTTGATGAATAAAAAGAAAATAATTAGACTTAAATAAACATACATCTCCACATCCAAACTTCAGTCACTTCAGAACAGAATGAAGAGTTTGAAAGACAGGTATATTATTTGAAGTGGCAAATTTTTTCAAAGACAATAATTTTAAAGAGTTATCCCACAACATTTACTACATTTTCACTAAGCAATACAAATAAAAATGCAACCAGAGGGCTAAACCTAAATTTTAGTCATAGCAAAAAAAAAAAAAAAAAAAAAAGACCTTTCAACAGAACTAGATTTTGTATTTTGTTCATTTGATAGAACTATTTTGTTCTATTAATACATCTATTAAATGATTATTTTGCTTTAAAACACTCAAATATGACTTTTTTTAAAAATAGAAGCACAAGATGACTTGCTTTCAGAGAAAAATGTACGATGTAAAATCCTGAAAATGAATGAAGTTGTAGAAACATTGTAGAAATCAATATATTCATAAACTGTATCTCTGGTAACAGGTTCTGCAGTAGCACATTTGAAATTGTTCCAATTATTCAACTGTGCTTTTATTGAAAATACACCAATTCAGAAAATGAAAAAAGATGATTAAGGAGGGAGGGAGACTACAAAAGCGTTCTACGAGTGACAAAATTTCTGAACAGTTATTAGAAAATAAACACCAAGACGCGTACTGCACATTATACGGAATTTCCTGCAGTTGCCAATTACATTAAACAAAGATTATACACAACTCAGAAAAGCTTTTTCACTTCAGCATTTGATTCCTCTATGGAGAAGGGAGGGAAGAAAGGAGGTACTGGGAGAAAAGGGAGTCAAGTGTTAAGTTACCAGTTACGCTGTACTTTCCCCCTGTGTAATAATTAAATATTAAAGTCACAGTCTAGCAAATGCAAAATTTATTTCAACTGTACATAACAGATGTCCTTTTTTATATAAAACAAAACACTTAATTGATATATGCAACCACAAACAATATGCATACTGTACAGTACAATGCAACATTCAGATATACATCCATTTTGTATTTTCAAAAGGCAGTTACCTACTGAAAATGGCTTCTCCCATTCACAAATGAAGTGCACAATATATATTAATTTTTCTATGTTTTACGTCACTATATACACATTACTGTGTTTTGGCAAGATTATGCAAAACACGCTATTAATACTCGTTGGCTTCAATTTATAGCAAATACCAATTCATGGGAACACTGTGTAAGCCATGTGAAGAGGGGCTGACAATGGCTTGAACCTACCTTCTAACTCAGATTCTCCATCCTTCCAGTATATTTGTAACTGTACACATATATTTTACAGAATTGCATAAACAGAAGGTACTATTATTACCATGACTAAAGTTCCACAAAAATAGAAACACTGAACCTTTGGACTGAATACCACCATTTCCACTTTGCTTTTTTTTTTGTTGGTTTTTTTTTTTTTAAGCATGTTGCAGTAATACTTCTGATCAATTCACAACAGTTAGTGGTCTGTAACACCGCATGATTTAAACGTAATAAAGTTAGAGATCGTAATTATGAACTTTAACTAAAGTTAATGACTTAAGTGCTACAATAATTAATGGTGGTAAACCATCAAAGCTTTGGTGCATAGAAAGTCAATAAAATCTTCAAATCTTAACAACAAAACATTCTGCATGATATGGAAATTCAAGTGCAGCAACTGTATTTCCAACTTATTTTACACTATAACATGAAACAGACATAAAAGAATTATCATTGATCTAATGCAGAAAACATTACTTAACTGGAACACCACAGCTTAACAGGGTAAAAAAAAAAAAAGCAATCCAAACTTTCCATATATGTAGAACAAAAACTCAAAGGAAAAAGGGAAGTGAAGTGGCTTACAGATGCACTGTGGAATGGTATGGAGCACACACACATTTTTCATTTCTCTAAGCAACACTCCTCCTCTTAGGAAAAAGTTCAACATATACAAGTTCCTGGCCATTCAGTTAATATACGACTGCTAGTAAGATGTGCCCCTAAAAATTCTGTTTAGTAAGCATTACTGCTTTTGTTAGTCAAGCCTTCATATACAAGCAACAGTGATAAAAGATAAAGGAGGTGATCAAACAATGCAAGATGAAATGCAAATCTACAAATATTAAGTGTTTTGAAATAGCTTCTCCATGTAGATAACCTCGTGTAATCATTCATATCTAGCAATTACCAACTTTCTGATCATGTAACCTGCACGATGGTATTAATTACTTGTAAACTTTTAAATGGAGAGATCAAATCCCCAGGCAGCAATTAATAAGCAGCAATTAACAGCATCATAACTACTCTGAATTTGCTCAGAGTAATAGTTGTACGCTGGATAACACTTAAAGGAATAGAGGAATTGCATTCAGAGATCCTGATGAAAATGAGAACTATTTCTGTCCTTTCATCATCTGCTTTTCTCTAATGCTAAAGAAGATTTGGAAAGCACTTTATTTTTGTTTCAATCCCAATTGCATCATCCACAAGACAGAACACACACTTCACCCCAGCCATGCCCCAGGTACAGGTTCAAGACCACCAGCTGTGTATAAGGTGTTACAGTTCTCTGAAAAGCCAACATGATTGTAGGTGAAGAGCTGTTGCTGAAAACAAACCTGCTCGTGAGGAAAGTTACAAGACACAAAATCTGTCACAGACATGCTCCAAACAGTAAAACCAAAAGCCAAGCATTCTGTTTTCAAGAACTTTGTACAAGCCAGTTTGATTGCAGTTGTACCTAGAGTTTCAGGTGCTGAACACTTGAGCTTTCAGCTGAGGAACGATTTTCATCTCGTCTTTTCAGGAAGAATGGTCATTTGAAAGCTGTGTATTTTAACAGGCAAGTAAACATCTAACCCCTGTTTTCTGCCACACTACTGCATACAGTAAAGTGACAATATGACCACGGGTAATATGAGATTATCAAAACACTGCATGTAATGAGCATGGACTGCTGGGTTTTCATGACAAGCGCCAGATTGAGGGTGAGAGGGAGAGCAGTGCAATCCTTCATATAGACGCCTAAGCAACGACAAAGAGACAGCAGTATAAAAACAAGTTCTCATGGATTAGCAAACGCTTTTCCAAACAAATGGGCCAGATATGTGAATCTGAATGATTTCATAGCTCTTGTACTGTTAATTTTAAACCGTATTTTTCTTACTACCAGCTCCATGTTTTGTTAATAATATGTAGAAAATTCAACAGCTATCACTGAAGTATTTCCATATTGCTGGCATTCAGCTCATAAGCCAGTATGGTTTCAGTACAAAATACAAAAATGTGCTGTATTCAAAAGGAGAAAAAAAAAAAAGAAAAAAGGACCTGTTGCTACACTGACCAAAACCAGAAGTAAAGACCATTCAGAGCTACAAATTAATATCTGTCACTTAAAAAACTCTCAAGAAATATCATCCTTGGCAGGATATACACTTTTTAGAACGACTTATTTGTATGTGCATCGGCAATAGAGCCTTCCACCAGGTATAACTGAAGTTTCAGAAGCTCCCTCAGAAGTTGTTAAAATATCACATTAAAGAGACAAGGAACAGCAAGAAAACATCTAAGAAAAGCAGGCTGTGATACAACAAGCATTTGTTAAGAAAAAGCTCAGAAGTGCATTAGTTCTGGTGAGAGATATATGAGCAACAGCTCTTACGAGATGTAGACCCCATTCTGTAACTATGGGCTGTCCATATACTGTCATAGTCAGAGTCTTCTGAGAGGTCTGAAGGCTCCAAACGAGAAAGACTACTGCGACGACCCAAGGAGTCTAGACTTGATTGGTCATCATCAGCCAAGACGTGATTATGCATCAGGTCAGTGCCTTGCCATGCTAAGGATGTATAGGTGAAATGAAATGGTGGATGTGGATAGGCAGAGGTGGGATGAGGAGGAGAACGTAAGGAATAGCCACAACCAAACACATGAAATAAAAGCAAAAGGTGATGGGAAGAGAAGGAAAAGAGAAAATATTGTTAAAAAGGCACCAAAGCTTTTTCTTGTTTTCATTTTCTTTTTTGTTTGGGATTCAGGTATAAATTACACTCACTGTAATAGTTTTTGAACTGTTACAATAAAATTTTTGAAGCGTTTTTTTAAGCTTACAAGCAGTCTCAGTTGAGAATTTTAAGTAACCAAAATCTTGTTTGAGGGTAGATTTTTTTGGATGAAGGAGATCAGTTCTTTTCAAGCAAAGAATCAGTTCTGGTCTGGGGGCAATCTGATCTGGGACAGAGCAATAAACACAGCAAGCCAGCATGACCCAGTGCTAATGTGAAAAGCAATAGCCCCTTCCCCATTACACATCCATACCTTCATCCTTTCCCTCCCTTGCAATGACACAGCCATTTGTACAGCTGCTTGGTGAGCCAGGTCAGGGAACAGCTTCAAATGGTAATTAACCCTTCATTTTTATTTTTCAGGTAGACAAATAATTTCCCACCAGCTCCCAATACAGCCACATAAGTGCTTGTGTCACTATTACAAAGGGGAAAATGCAGGGGGAAAAAAAGCAAGGTTCTCATGCAGAGCAGAGCTGCCAAACTTTCTACATGTGCAGCACCATCTCATACCCACTCAAAGGGATTGCCAAGCTGAAGCTTCTTTGTGCCTGCAACCCTGTTATTTGTTTAACCAAGTAGAAACTGGATTGACAGAAAAACAAGGCCAAGAGACTAACAGCAATACAGTCTAGTGCCTCACATACCCTCACACACCTCTTCTAACTGGCCTCTATCTGAATCTGTCTTTGTATTTAGATACTTTAAATGCTTAGAATAGTTGATAAAGACGATTAAAGACACTTTCTCTCACCTATTTGCCCTTTTTGATTTTTTTTGTTGCTGTGTTGCTATTTTGTTCTGGTTGTTTTGTTTTGTTTTTTAAATAAAAAAAAGCCTGGCAGTATCTGAAAACTGAAACTATGTAAGTGGCCATGTTACAAGCCAAAATCTGCATGACACTACAAAAGATTTAAGCCTTCATTTGGAATAGAAATGTGAAGTAAACACAGGATATAAGCAACAGAGGAAACTGATGGTTATTTTATTTGCATATATAACTAATCCCTACATCCTCCCCACCTTCAAAAAGAAAACTCCCATCCAACGTGCATTGGTGCCAAAGCAACACAAAGCTGGCATTGCCAAGGGCAGCACCTCTGGGGCTTTGCATTAAGATGCAGCTAATAGAAATACCAAATCAGTGATGGGAGGGCCAGTTAGAGAACTAACACAGAGGTAAGCCACTGATGTGTAAAAGTGGAATATTTCACTGATGGGCAATTCTTTCATTCTGTTTTTCTACACTGACCAGTGCTTCCACAGAAAGAATCCCAGCATCATTTTTCCCCCAATTTCCAATTCCCATCTACAAAGGGATCTTCAGAAACTTGATGTCTTAGATGGCAACATTACTCTTTCCAAACAAAGCAGCAAAACACTTGCTTCTCGCTGCAATTATGAGCAAATAAAAGCTGCTGACTTCTGATGTATGCAATGATACCTAACTGCACCATGTATATTTCTTAAATATACATAGAAAGGAAAAAAAACAGCAAGCAAAATATCATATCCATTAGATGCCTGCACGCACAACTGTGCAAGTGCAAATGTTTCTCCAACCACTTCTTGTCACAGTATCCTTGAATATAATCAACAAATCCAATACAGTTAACAGCAATGTCTCAATTTTGTTGGAACAACAGCGTATCTCCAGAATTTTGAACACATTAATTTCCTTTTATCCAATTCAACACACTACAATACTGACTGCAGAGCCAGAAAACTGGTCAAACATTAATAAAAAATAGTGTTATAGTAGCCAATTTGTCAAACTGATAATTATCACCTCGGAGATCTACAGTTCATTGAGATCAAAAATTAAAATGAAGGTTTTAGCTGTTACTTCAAATGCTTTAAAAGCCTAATACAAGGGTTATATTCCCATTTTTGAAGTACACACAAATACAAAATTTAGCAGTTTTCAAGGTGATAACAATAAGTGAACATGTATTATGTAAATATGTGATCTAGGCCTGCAACTGCACTCTGAGACTTCTCACCTGTCTGTAGAAAGTGCTTCTGCTTGGACATGGGCACAGAGATCTGTGGCTAGCAGTAACAGTGTTTAATACTAATTTAAACAATAGACTAGGAGTTAGGATATATCTATCCTTCTAATTCCTGACAATAGCAAAAACAGCCAGGTACTCCAGCATCATTATACAGCATTTCAAGGACACCAATTAAATCCTTAATCATCAGTGTGAAAACAGTGCAAACTGGAACAAACCTAACAGCATTTTCTCCTTTCTTGTGTAAGCAGAACACATGCTGATGGACTCCCCCTGCTTTAAGCAACGTTTTACTTACAACACAGAGGAACTCCACATGGCAACCTTGATTTGGATTAAATGAAGGAGGACCCCAGAGGCACGTTACAAGTTTTCAATACACTAGATATTGATCTGAGAAACTATAAATGGCTTTAAGCAACAGAAAGATCTCAGAACAGTTTCTCCTGAAGTTACGACATAGGATTAAAGTTTGTAATTAATACTAAAAACAATGGCTGGCAATAAAAAAAAACTTTGTACAGGTTCACGTTACTTTTCCGTAAAAGAAAACTGTTGAACCAAATAAGACAGAAGAACACTTCTCCACAAGTGCCACTTATTCTTCGTTCCTCAATACTTACCAACAACTTCTTGAAATTTACCAAAAACCACACTGGACAGCTGTCATATTCTAGCAAGACACCTCAAAACCTCTGATTCATTGGCAATTTTAAATCCAAGTAGCCACTAGTAATTTATTTTAAATAAGCATTGTAAGACCCATATAAATATGAACCTTGGCTTCCAAATACATAATCGCTCAAGCACTATTACTAAGCCAAAATCAGATTATTAACTTATTTCAGGTCCAGCTTGCTGTTTATAAAGTTCTGAGACCGCTTACACTATACTTATCTTTTTTTAAAACAACCTGATACGTGGCTTAGTGAGTCGTACCAGTATTTTCTAACTTACTTGAGTTTAGTGTTTGACGTGTTTTGGCACTTGTGCAATATGCTTCAATGACTTTAAGAATTTGAGCATCTTCTTCTAAAGCAGCAGTACCTAGAAACAATGGAAAACAACAAAATTTTAAATATGGGCATGTGTTTCTTACTACAGACAGGCCTTTGTAAACAATGTTTGTTTAAAGCTAAATTCTACATATTTGAATTGAGACCAAAGTTCAGTCTAATCAAGCCTTTAGAATTCTTAATCATTTCAAAAATCAAGCTTCAATGACTGAAAGCAACAACGGAAAGAGAAACTGCTATAAAAAATATAATGCTTTAAACATCACGATGTAATAGTATCATCTGTGAACCAGAGCATACAGATTTGTTTTTTGTAATTTATTATTGTGACAGTAAAGCCAACTGTTCAATATTTTGTCAGGATTGCCTGACAAACTAACTGCTGAAGTATCTTGACTAGGTATGGTTTACCCATAGTTCAAGAGATGCAGGCATTCCAAAGTGCATATTCCCTCTCTTTCAAGGCAAGAAAAATAATTGAATTTTGTGTTGCAAAATTTGTTACAAAGTTACAAAGCAGCACCATATCATTACCACAGCAAAACAAATATTTCACTTCTGAAATCAGTACTGAGAGGACACTCAGCTAAAACGCCTTTCTTTCATTTGTCTGCTATAACACACAAACCTATCTATCAGAAAGCTTTAGTTTTGGTAGAAATCCTTCAATGGCAAACTCTTACATCTCCACAGGCTGAAGGAGCGCTACAATAGAACTTAAGCTTCTAATTACTCATTACTTCTAATTACTGGTGGGGAAAAAAAATCTCATTTTAAAGGTGAAGCTTCTATTTATGCCTGATGCTTAGGCTGATGAAAACAGCAACTCACCACGTGCTATCTTCTACAGCGAGGAATAAGAACGAACTAGAAAAAAGTGCTCTTTCATATTACAGAGAGCCATAACCATACTTAGCTACAAAGGTTTTTAAGAGTTTGGACAGATTTAAATAAGGATGCCTCTTATTTGGTCAATTCATGATAGTTTTTTAAAAATTATGGAAGGGAATCATGTTGAAATGAAGTGCGAGCCAGATTACAAACAAATATTTAGAAGCTTCTTTCAAGCTATAAACTTTATCATGAAAGAAAAACATACCCAGAGATCCATGGAGTAAATGAGGGCCATGACTCACATGCATATGCACCATCCAAGCCCATACACAGACATTTAGTTTCCATGTAATGCTGAGTATCAGAGCTTGTTACTACCTCAGCTCTCACTTTAAAAACTCAGTTAACTTGGGTTTCTATAACCAAGATATACTTCTAATCTATTTTGAACAAACAGAAGCTACTCTGCATATTTACTAAAAGACTATACACATGCTGCACACTGAATGCAATAAAGCAGACCTAAAATACTGTAGCAAGTATCAGGGACATGACTAGAATGGAGTGCATTGTATAATGCTGGACAATAGACAACCAATTTACTATCATTTTGTAGTTAAATCTAATTTTCTTCCTTATGCCAGTAACAAGATGAAAACTAACGAAATCCTGAAAAGCTGTCTGATAGAAGGAGAGACAATGTTAACAATAACATACTTCATGTATTCAGCAGTCAAGGCACATGACTTAAGAAGCTCACGAGCAAAGGGCAGACACAAAAGCAGAAGTTGGAATAAAAGGTTCTGGCCTTCAAGTGTGAACATCAGCTATTTTAAACACCTTATCTTTTAGTGACACAAGCAATTGGATCATCCATTCCCACAAATATACAAGGCACTTCAACACCCTACATCACCTGACCTAGTCTGCTTGTCTGCTTCAGGACCAAGCACCTTTCTCTGACCACACAGTAGCCTGCAATGATTGGATCTCATAGAACACATCTGATCAGAGGGTATGAGTGCCACCTAAAGTAAAGGTACCAAAAACAGTTACTTGTTGGTGGGAGCAATAACGTTATCCAAGTGGTAGAAGTTAAAAAAGAATTTCTAAACATACTGAGATTAAACTTGCAAGCTATTTAATTGCTAAATAGAAAAACCAACACAGTACAAGTGCTGCTGACAGACTCATAATTAGAAATAAATAAATCTCTGTGCATCATCCTGCTATTTCTGCCTTCCTCCCCACACTTTTTTTCCTCATCTACGTACACACATTAACACAGAAAAGCAGGATGCCTCCACCTAGCCTTGGATAAGTTCCTGTATTCTGTAGTCAACTGCATGACTCTAGAAAGCTGTTTATGCCAGTGTGACATAAGTGCCTAAGGTGAATAAATGAAACAGTCCTCTGTAGATACCTACCCTCTTTCCCCTGCCAGGGGAGAGGAAACCAGACTATTTAGACTGTACATCTAACTTGTAAAGATATTAAACTGATGTTAATTCCAGTCTTTGTACTATGCAAATAATTGTTCAAGTCTCTTACTTTTTCTCAGTGCAAATTCTTCATCTGATGGCTTCCGTTCTGGCTTGCGTTTGGGAAGCAGCTTTTTCATGGTTTTAGGGCTCTTACTTAGATCCTGTGTGGGGAGAATAAAAAAAAAAAAAAAAAAAAAAAAAAAAAAGAGTAGAGCTTCTCTAAAATATTTCAAAGGTTAGTTTCTAAGACACGTGGTGCCATAATTCAGTTTATTAATATTCTTTGGCACATGAGATTTGCCTGAACCAGCTCATTTCGTTTCTATCCCTCCACCAACTATACACTAAGTTGGGTATTTTATCTGTTCTGTGAACAGAAATATACAAAAAAAGCTGCAGCAAAAGCACGCAGGCTGTTTGGGAACTGGAGCAAAAGCAGCACAAAAGCATATATATGCACTTTTTTCCCTTAACCTTTGAAGAAACAACCCATTTAATTTGTCTACTTAGAAGCAGATTAAAAAAGGAAGCTTGGGAGGTAGTATACTTATTATACTGAATGTTTGGAGCTTTATCAGAACAGACCTACAGCAAAAGAAATACAGCTACAAAGAGCATTTCTGCTTTAAATATAGTCATGCTGATTTAGAGAAACAATGCTAACTTTGAGAAACCGCTAATTTTACAGGAACAAAAAGGAATATTCTCATCTACCCCTTACCTTACAGGAATGAGCCATCCTCTATAAAAGTACAGAACTAGAGGGTAAAAAGGTGAATGGGCAGGACAGACTGGAGATGATGAAGATAAACTGAATGCTGTCATAGGTTAAACACCTGAGTGTTTAAACACATGAGTAAAACTTAACCATATTGGAGAATGCAGCGCTGTACATAAAAGACACGAAAACAATTTAACTTACAAAGAGATGAATATGCAGTAGAGCTAAACTGGAGAACTTCTTGTAGCAACCAAGCCCAAATACTAACCACTTAATTGAAGGCCACCTATCACTTACACCCTGCTGCTTAGCGGATGTACAAAGCGAGGAAAAAAAGACAGTCAAAACTGTCACAAATGCACACCCAGCACAAACAAACAAAAAGAAACCAACCATACTGCACTAGGTTGTGTTTAAACTGCAAATTCACATGCCTTCAAGATAACATTGTTCTCTTAGCATCATATGGTTGGAGACAAAAAATGTTCACAAGCATAACTTTAGGCAGCTTGATCCAGTAAAAGGTGTCCTTGCCCACGGCAGGGGTTTATAACTAAATGACTTTTAAGGTCCCTTGCAACCCAAACCATTTTGTGATTCTATGATTCCAAGTTTACTACTCTTTTTGGGTCCTGTTGCTTTGTACTAAATTAGAATTATAAGAATGCATTACAGAAGAATACTAAACCTGAAGATATCACCGTGACAGACAACATTCAGTATTCTCCTTCTTACAAGCAGACCTTCATACATAAACCTAATAGTTTCTCAGTATTTACAAAGCCACGCACAGTGTAATGGAAAGACCAAATTAACCTACCCCCATCGTTATTTCTCTTAGAGCAGATTTCTGCTTCATACCATATGCTAATTAAAAACTACAACAGCATCTTAAAATCTAAGCTGTGAACCAAGAGCCCATTATACCCCCACAGCTGTTCAGAATGATTTCATACTGCACTTCCAAGAACCGAAGATCCCTTATACTAGATGCTCCTCAGTATGCTTAGCAAGCAGCTTTGCAGTAAGCTGGAATGATCAATTGCTAGTTTTTGTTGGATGGGTTTAAAAAAAAAAAAAAAAAAAAAAAAACTTCTTAACAAGACGAAGTTGGAAAATAAGTGGAAATACCTGGCAGGGAGGAAAAGGTGTCAGCATACGCTCCTAACAAACCTCTGAATCTTCTGAGCCACGAGAATAAATGTCTACTTGAAATGAACAGCTTTCACTGTCCATTACCACTGATTCAGAGCTAACTCTTAATGCACACACACAAAACTGTAAAACATTGGTATGTGAGTTACATTTCTCACCGTAGTCAGGCTATGCAGTAACATTTTTTGTCTGCTGCACCTCACCTCTTTGTAACAAAGTGCTGCTGAAGGCCGTAGTGGAGGTGCGGGCCGTAAACAGCTCAGACTCCAGGGCTTGGGTGTTTTAGGAGGTTCCAGAGGTCCCCAGTTTATCGTGGTATGTGGAGTCCCATGATGTGACGGATGAGGGAGAGTGTGATATGCAGGAGTCAGTGGTATCTGCTTGCTGTCCGAGTGCTTGCTGGAGGGTGTCACTGGATGGGAAGGAAGCTGTCAAAGACAATGGTTGTGGGAAGGGAAAGAAAGCATGTCATCATCATAAAGGCAAACTATCATAAAGATCCAGTGAAAATCTCTTCTCTAGTCTTTTGTCTATTACTTAAGAGTTTTTAAAATTTTAATACAGAACTACTATTTGGAAAAACTGAGCATAAAAACATTTTGTCTAACACATAGAAAGCATGCATTAGAGAAAGAACAGCTTCAAGCAGCCTGGCTCCCATTTCTTTCACCACAAGGCTCAGAGTTAAATTAAGATCCATTCACATCAACTCCAGAATACAAAAGATGCCAACAAAAGGAAACTGTTTCTCCACAGACTCAAGTACATCATCATCAGTTAAAACCTACTATTCTAAGGATACTTAAAAGATGATGACACACTACACAGTCAAAACAGAACTGCCTTTTTTTTTTTCCTTTTAACCTTGTTAAACTATTATACCAAAAACTAAACATCCTACTCTTCCCTCATGCAATTAAAAACAAAACAATATTTTGAAGCAAACTGTAGTTGTAGCATATAGTTTTTGCTACTAATAGTCAAAGAAAATGCTTAACATAGCAGCACATTTGCCAGATAACCTAGTTCTGTACACACTACTGATTCACTTCAATGACAAAGTGTTTTCTTACTGTGTGAGATGGCACAGAATGAGGTTTAATGGTGGGATTCCCAACAGTTGTGACTTTGGTTTGTTTCTGCAGGTGATCAACCCACTCATGCAAATCTTGTTGGTTGTTACATGACACTAATATCCTTTCAATCATAGTTCCTAGGTGACATAAAAATAAGATGTAGGAAACCACACAAGAACAACTTAGTCAAACTGACACGATAACACATGATGCTCATTTCATAAAATATTATATTCATCAATTACTATGCAAAAAATTTAACCAGTATTTTTGGAAAAACAGCAACATTTTTCTATGTGATAACATTTCTTCCACATATTTATTTGTCTATGAAGCAAAAGAATTATACCTGTTTTTCTCTCTTTGATAATTAAACACAATTATTACAACTATTATATGTAAGAGACAGGACCACCCTCAGCTCCAAAGGGTGAATCCAGTAGCTTTATACTTTTCCATCTTTCCCAGGAAAGCTAATGTATAGTCTACAATGTCACCCGTTAGTCCATAAGCTTCAGCATAGGAAAAATCATAAAGTATTGTTCAGAGAAGGTCTTGAGGTCAGACCAAATCTAATATGAAAGATGAGGCAAAAGTCACTTGGGAACACCTCTGGAAAATTTTACCAAGGGTTACCTCTAATTTCTACAGTTAAGTCCATTTTAACCCACCACATTCCTCATCCGAGGTCAGCTTCATAGCTATTATCTCAGAAGAACAATTACCATCAACAGCTTTTTCCCTCCACCTCGAAGCACTGATGTGTTACACTGCCTGCCACTTGAGAGCCTCAATATTACTTCAGTGAAACACAACCTGCTTGGAGGCAGAAATGATCCAGGAAACAAATGAAAGTGTAAGTCTCCACTGTGGGGATTTTCCTCCAAAACTATATTCCTAAGATTCTGACTTCATTGGGCCCAGGGAATTAAGTTACATGCTAAAACAAATCACTTGATAGACAGAAAACATCCAAAACAAGAACTACTGCAATCGTGAACAGCAGAGCTACGGAAGGTCTCTCAGTAAAGAGACTGACCATTTCTAAAGGAAAGATCTTGACTAAAGCTCCTCCAGACTGTCTGAAATTCCCCTCCTTACAGGGAGCAGCACAGTCTAGTAAACAGCAAATAAAAATATTTACAACTAGTACCTGATATTTCAAATGCATTTTTATGGTTTTCACTGTCTTCTAGCTTTGTGATAGTCATTCCAGTCATTGGTAGCTTCCCCTTAAAAAAAAAAAAAAGCAGTTAATGATGAAGTTGAAGCCAAAATACACCAAAAAATTACCAAGTAAAATGTATACAACTTAAAGTTCTGAATGAACACAGGTGCAACACAGTAAACTGGCAATCACACAAACACATGCTGATGGGTTTAAAATATTTTCAAATCCACACAGGCACTTTGTAACAAAAATTTTCAAGCCAAACACCTGCAAATAACACCTGTGACTTTAATGAGTCTATTTGATACCTATGCAGGCTACAAATCCATACAAACATAACAGCAGTCATCCATCATAGTCTCAAGTTCTGGGAACTGAGACATTCAGGGTCATCCCTGTCACAAGATCAGAAGCAATGGTGACTGACCTGAAAGCATATATATCTGCAAACAAATTTTGTTTGTGGTATATTTAGAAAGGAAGATTTCATTAAATAAATCCATCAATTATATACTGAAGACTTACATCTCCAGTATCCACACTGCTATCAAACTCACTCTCAAATATATTAAGAAAACAAACCTAATCTCATTTTAAGCCCAACCAGTCTGGAAAAGTTGGTTTGGGATAACTTTTTGTCCCTTTCAAAACACAGAAGAACAGGTAAAAATGCAACGCTGTCAGGATGAAAGGCTTTACCAAAAATGCAATGTTATTAAGAAGTTCTCTAAGACAGATTCTTTATTCTCTTGCACAGAAGCACTATTCAGAACACGCTGGCAAAAGTGCAAATGCAATGCGTTGAGGAATTTTGGCTCCAAAGAAGGGGAATTTTTTTTATTTTTTTAAAGTGACTGCAGGATGGACAAAGGCTTCTTACAAGTTGATCTGAAATCACTTGGTGTTCTCTATGCACAAAACATGCTCAATCATAAGATGCCAAAGAAAAGATTTTTTGCTACAACTTTTCCAGTGAAGGAAAGATGGTAGTGCTGTACCTTACAATGCAGCCTAAAATCTGTTTTCCATTTTTTGCTGGTTCCTGACCAACACAGCATAGCCACACTGAAGTGAGGTGCAAGAATTGAAGATACAAACAAAAAGAGAATCTGGGAATGCACCAGGCAAGAGACTGACAACAGAATAATCATCACCTGAGCCACATGGAAACCAGAAGCATAGATACACAGATAGCTTGCTTTCTCCTTCCTTTCAACAGACAATTGTGAGACCCTCTCATAAAATACCAGCACTATGACCTGGAACACCTGACATCTGCTGACATCAAATACTCAGAACTACACAGAGAATATACTGTAAAGTCAGAGAAGCTGCAGCTTATACCTAAACTTCAACGATCAGGAACTCTCTTCTTTTCTCAGTTTATAAACATGCACCAATCAGGAAAAGAGACATTAAGGCATAAATCAGGTACAGATGCTGACTTCAAGGACATTCTTTCTTTTGGAACAACTGGGGGAGTTGCATCTTTCATCTGCTCATGTCCTACTTAGAAGACAAGAACCTCGAAATAGAAATCCGGATGGCAAATGCCATGCAATCCTGACACAGCTCCAAAGCCACTGCCTCACTGTCTCACTCTCCAAGCACTGTCTCAGAGTGATTAAACAATTTTGCCTTGCTATGAGAATGCAGACGTTAGGATTTAAGGAGTGCTTAGTGTTGAGAAAAAAATCACATTAGAACTTATGAGAAATTAATAGTTTAGCATTCAACAGAGGATTGGGCAGTAAATACTAAGGAAGTGTCATGTACATACTGAACAGATGCTGAAAATAAGTGCACAGAAAATTGCTTATTTACTGAACAATGCTGTGCACCTGAAGGACAAAATGGGACAGAGAAGGAAAAAAGCATATGCAATGTAAAACAGGAGGACAGAATTAAGCCTGACAGATTCACTGTTTAATTCTATATTGAGTGTTTCTTAGCACAAAAATTTACAGTCAGTTGCTTCTGTAACCAGTGTACAAGCATCTGCCTTCACTGAGAATTCTGGCTGTGCTACTTGAGATCTAGCACTCACCTGCCTTTCTTAATATCTTTGTCCACCTACATCAGGACAAAACACTGACCAGAGGTTATTAGGAGCAGCACAAAGCTAACAGAAGCTTAATTATCTAACTGAACTACCTAACACAACACAGTCAGATAAATTCAGCTACTCCCACGAATACAAAAAGTGAACTTTACAATTTAATTTCTCCTAATAAAGTCACACAGTTTGTGACTGGATGCAGACAACCACGTTGGAGTCCCAAATGGCAGATGAATCACTACTAGTGAAGAAACAGGTTTTTTTCCCCTCATTGTTTTAGGTTGTTTTCTTGGTTTTGTTTTAAATGAATGATCAGTTCTTGTTGCAGAAGCTACCTTTGCTACTTGTGAAAGTGGAAGTTTAACAATCCAAGTTTTCTATGAAACGTTTGGCAAAAATACATGCCAGCATTTACACAGATGTAAACGTATCACCTTACCTGATAAATGAACCCACTCATTCTTGGGCTGGCAGACAACATTAACAAAATGTTAGGGAAGAGAAGAAGATACCTTTCATTCTTTTCCTTATAAAAAAAAGAAAATAAAAAAGTAAATAGAACGTCACAAGAACCCTTCTCCCCTTTTTATGTTTTACATTATTTAAAACGATCAGCAAAATTACAACTCTACAGTTACACCACAAACACTTGTCTCTAGCAAAATTAAACTCCCATAATGGTAGAACAAGTGAGAATTTTTTCATTTTCTTTTTGAAAACTGCTAGTGACATGCCTATATTCCTTCCTGGAAAGCAGAGCCTTATCATTTAAAGAATTAATTTTTACTGTTTGGGTGGAATACTAGCCTGTTTAAGTTAGTAACACCCAATTTGCTGATTTCACTGAATCCAAGAACATTAAAAATATATGTATATACAATATACAAAACTTGACTGGATACTGTTGCTATAATGTCAAGACTTCTGTCTCTCAAATATAAAATCAGATTTTTACAAAATATCAGATTAGCATCAGAATTAGAAAAATATTATGAAAGTAATAATGCTTATATTCAGAATGGAAACAACATTGCTTCGTTCTCTTTTAATATGATGGTTGCACTTAAGATTAGCACTAACACAAAGCTTTGATTTTAATGACAAATATATTCTTTTTTTAAGTGATTGCTTCAATTTCTAACACCTTTGCTATACCACACAGCTTCTTACCAAGTTTAAATGTTTCTATTTGTTTTTCAGTCTTTACAAAAGCATACATCATTTGAAAGACAAAAAGCAAATGCTTTTGCACAAACTAATTTGTTCTATATCTAGTCAAAAAGCAATTGCTACGCAGAAACTTCCAAGGGTCCATTACATTTGACATTTTAACTATAATGAGTTTGGTGCAGACTTTTTTTTTTGCTTTAAAACAAGATGCAGCAGTAGAAGATGCATTATCTGCTCTAGTGATAGATATTTTATTTTAAACAGCTAACATAGTATCTGGTAGCAAGATATGTGGTGACAAACTTTAAAGAATCCAGTTGCAAAAGCACTTTCCTCTTTCCTCATACATAAAGGAGGAAACTCATTGAATATGGTTGCAATACTAAAACTCCCAACAAGTTCAAAGCTTAACTGATTACACAGGAGAATAGCTTATTGTTAAGCCACGGCAGTATCTATTTACAAATGAGAACACCTATCTTCAAGTAGCTTATTTCCTATTCTATCATAAAAGTCTTAAATCAGCACAGGAAGATTTTATTCTAGAAAAATGTAACAAAGTATTTTTATTTCTGCTACAAAACGATTACCAACTTAACTGCAAAAGTGAAAGGAAGACTGACAGTAAAGGTGAGAAGTACATTACCTCACTTCCAGCACACTGAATCATGACCTGGGACATGTAGATCACATTGCCAAGTGTTTTAATATCTTCCCCCTCCCAACAGCGGATTGCTTCTGTTAATATTTGTAGTTCAAGTTCTTTCCGTTTCCGTACTTCTTGACATTGTGCCTAACAAACAGAGGCAAAAATATTCTCTTGTATCAACTCTATCAACATGGAACAGGTTGAGGGTAGAAATACCACCATATATTTACTATTGTCACTGTAGTACACAGAAAACAGTACCTAAATATGAAGTGTTTTTTATATTACAATTACCAGCATAAAACTAACCTTGCTAACTTCAATATCATTTCTTTCTTTAATAGACCAACTTCAATTACAAATTGGTAGTCACATTCTCTTTTTTTAAATTTCCTTTCCTTTACATTTTAGGATTTGTAACACAAAACAGCTAGGCTAAGCAGGAAGCAGTAACACAGCTGTCTTGAGTACATATGGCTTACACACAAAATGGATTTGAATTAGAAGAGACTTGTCAATTGTGCAAACTGAATGCATACAACCTTCTGCTCCTATTTCTGTTACATTTCCTGCCAACTTATTTTCACTAACCATACTCCCATCTTATCTCACTTGAATTTTTCTCAAGAATTGTTTCCTCTCATTTGCAAAGCACTCAGAATTGGGGATCCTCAAACCTCTTCTGAACACAGAAAACAGTACAATTTCTGCATTAAAATGTAAAAAAAATAGGAAGTGCCACCTAGCAGGATACACTGCTAACAGGAAACACTAAAGTTAAGTTTACTGTAATTGAGAATGCAAGAAATACATCTCTTGCAGCTGTACTTGCTAAATTTAAGAGTTGCACTCTTCAAATTGAAGATTTATTGTCCTTTAAATGACAATAACAACTCATCTGTTCAAAGCAGGCTTATTCTCTTCATTACTTAAAGTTCCTACATTCCCATCATCATTTGCCCATCCCATTATCACTTCTCCCTCAACTCCAATACTACACCCCAAGAATGAATGCACCTTTGTAAAATCTCAAAAATACAATCTTTAGGTCACAAGTGCACATAGAAAGGAAAAGGAAGCACAAGAGAGCAGACAGATGCATAATACTCTTCTGTCAATAGTCTATTCGCTGTAGCTCCCCAACAATCTGCAGTTCTTAGCTCTGCCCACAAACTACATTAATCTCCAAAATCCCAAAACTTTCACAAAATTTTCTTATACAGATGTGTACAAAAGTGTTTTGCATTATAAAAGCAACAGAGATTAAGCTGGAAAGCATGCTGCTGAAAATATACGTGATCTATTTTTCATTCCTCTTACAGAAAGGTTTTTGAAGGCTGTCATGGATTTTTGAATATCTGGACGATCTGGATGATAATCCTAAAAGCAAGGAGAAAAACATACAATAAAAATTTTAGTTTTAGTAAAAATAATAATAAAAATGCTTATAGGCTTACCTAAGAGCAAATAAACTATGCCACAAAATACAAGCTTTTCAACCTTTCTGTTCTCTTTCCATAGTCTTCCCATTCAAAATACTGGTGATCTTCCTCTCAGTAAAAGTGAAATAGAAATGTTGTCGATGACTCTTAAGTTTACAACAGGGTCAAGGAAATTTTACAGGTCCTTCTGGACACAAAAAATTGCTTACCAACTTGAACTCCTAATAGGAAGTGTAGATTTTAAAAGGTTTTATTTGGCTTGTTGCCTTTTATTATAAATAAATCACATTTCCTTCAGAGTCATTGACTGACAAACCATGTGACTCAGAAACTAGTAATAGTTTCTCTTTCTCCTCCACAGCCCACAAGTCTCGCCTATAAGATGAAGCTGCTGAAAACAGTTAATCTTCAAACATCTTCCCACTATGGGAAGATCATTTCTGCACAGTGTTCAGTAGAAGTCAAGATGTCTCCAATAGGTTGAAATCCTACGATGAAAAGCAGCACTCCTACAAGATAAAGTTGCCTCTAGTTGTGTGCAGGAGACCAAAAAAAAAAAACCCAACATCAAGTCAACTGCAGACCCTGCAAGACTGCTCTAGGAGTGAAGGTTAGCTTCTCTGCCTAGCTTTACTGTAAATGTTTAGCTTTCTCAGGAAGTCTTACTGCACCGCCTTTTGAAATATGGCAGCCCATACTTTGGAAGGCTGCAGGAAGAGAAACAAAAGTCATTTGGGGTCCCATCATGTTTGACATGTACCTTTAAAATAATTGTTGTCAAATCATCATTAAGCTGGAACATAAATGCTGATAAGATATACCTCCATGTGCCTTTCAAGCTCTTTGAGTAACGTGGGGTATTTATCCAGACGCATAAAAGGTTTGCTGAGGCCTGTGGTCAGTACAAGGATCCCAGGACTGTTGGCACCTTTCACCTCCATGAATTCTCCTAGCTCCTCACTGCACACACAAGATATTTAAGCAAATTAACATCAAGTTACCAAGAAAATTAACATTAAATTAGATTCTTCTCTTCAGTCTTTCACACGCACTAAATTCTGCAGGTAAAACATCAATTCAAATAAACTAAAAAAATTCAAGAACTCAAGTACTACTTAAGAGTTCTCATCTGATCAACTAACCAGCAGCCATACAAATAGTAAATAATCAGATACTGGTGCGCAGTCCATCCCCATGAGCTAGAGTTTCAAGGTCTTTAAAATTACATAACACATTTTTGACATCAGCGTTACTTTAACAAACCAACACTCTCCAAATATCATGAATTGGTATTTCCTCTACACATGGTTCTTCATATTTGCATCACTTCTCACAACTGACTTGCAGCACATCCATTCTAGTTGTTACATAAATTCTCATGTCGCTTTGCTACCTTTTAATGAAATTAAAGTTCACTTTGCTACCAATGAAGCTTATGTTATTTACATTCTCCGCTTCCTTACACAGCAGAAATTTCAGAGAAATAAGGTCGAGGACAAGTTGCTACTGGTCATCTAAGCTTAAAAAAAATAATAAAAGAATTAAAAACCAGCCTTCTCTTTGAGGAAAGGAAGGTACAGCAGCATCTGGCCTTATTTCCAGGCTTGAGAAAACACACGTTGCACAAGTACATGCATATCTGAGTATAAAATCTAATTAAGAAAATTCAGAAAGCTACTTATTAAGAAGAAAATCCTTTCTGCATTCAAGCTATGCCATTTAAGTTATCTGCAGATGGAGCTGTTAGAATTTTGAGCAGTTGCTACTGTAAATTAACTAGTTCTCAAACAAACCCCTATGCTATCATGTGATAATCATTAAAATCTTTTGTAAGCTATCCTGAAAATCATTACTTTCAGCTCATTAACAACACTACTTCCCTGTAAGTCAAGGCTTAAAACACTTGTTTGCCTTTGTAGTCTTACTTTGCAAAGAAAGCCTTTGCCAGCTGTCAGATTAAGTTCTTTTGAAAACAGTAAATAAATTAAGAAAATGTAACTGTTAAACAACTATTTGCAATAAAGGAGGAATACTTGCACATTAGGGTCTCATTAACAAAATTCTTTCACTTAAGCCTAGGTGACAATCTAGGAGGGGCAAGTTTCTCCACACTTAGGGCACAGTGTTTTGATGTACTGAAATGAAAGCAAATCTCGGTCTGTTCAACTTCCCTAAAGATAAAAAAACAAAACACTGACAGGACATTGCTATAATACATAAAAATACATAGGTCCAAATAACAGTGAGCTGTCCATACAGAAACACAGATTAAGACAAAATTGACCCTGTCTATCCCTCCCCCCCCCCCCCACACACACACACACCCCTTCCCATTTCAGAAGGACTGACGCTCTTATTAGCATAATTTATCCAAGTAGATAACGAGAGCAAACCAAGAACAGAGGTCTTCTCACGCAGATACATCTTCCCCAAAATCTCTCTCCTTCTGGCTATTACTTTCTTCAGGTTCAAAGAACAGAAAGCACTTTTCTTATTTGCCTTTAGTTAATTGGTATTTACTTATACTACCTTGTTTAAATGCACCATTACTGCTTCTGTAATGCCGCCTGGTAGGGCACAACCTCACATAACCTACTTCAGAGGACACCAAGCCCTGGCACTTCTCAGTGCATACCAGGTGTGTTTCTGCACTTCTGAACTTGAAGTTAACAAAGCAGATCAGGAAGTTTCCCAACACCTTCTTTGTACTGTCAAGTTGTATAGGGAAGGGACCAGCAGAGCACCCAGAAGGTAGGCCTCCTTTCTCCATCACTTACAAGCAGAACACTTGTGTGACTCCAGGTCAGCCTGGGACATGACCAAGTTGCTAGCCAAAACTCACTGAAAAGCTTCCTGCAATAAAACTGAGTACTTCTCTGACTTAAATTTAGATATAAGAAGCTGCCCAAGAGAGTATCTTGATACTTAAGATCTACTTTGGTTTAAGTTTTTGTTTCTTTGTTTGTTTTTTGTTTTGTTGGGTTTTTTTGTTTTGTTTTTGCTTTTTTTTTTAAAATCACAGTCCTTACTCAGTGTAAAAAAAAAAATGTTATCAACTTATTCATCAGGTGGCACTCTCAAGGTGACTTATGGACTTCGACTCATACTTATGTTGGTTTACAGGGTTGCCAGCTACCTGTTCAACCCAGGATTTATGGCCGATTCCCTGGAACATTATTACACCAACTGGCTGTGATGTGGTCTCACATCCTCTGCCTCTGACAAGTGAATGTGCAAGGTGACATAGGGGGAAGGGACGATGACAGATCAGGGCACCACAGCTAGCTTCTACACAAAGCTTTACCAAAGCTCACCTGTGAAAGCCCTTCTGTCACAAGATACAATGCTTTACATTTCTATTCATTCTGTATATAGTATTGATCTCAGGTATACCACTGGGTTGATCTATCTTGTTTTTAATTAATTCTCCCTGTAAGCACCCCATATCCCCTTATCTATTATTGTTTTCTCGTCAGTAATAGGTGCCACAAGAACTAACAGAAAATAAACAAACTCATTCTTCGCCTTTTCTTTACTTCAGCCAGACGCAGCCCCGCTGCCTAACTTTACAAACTATTTCTATCCTCATGCCTTGTTACTCATCCCCACTTCAGATAGACGTACATGCCCATACAAACTTCTTTCATCTCAAAAATATCAGTATATTTCATAGTATAAGCCAACCATTGATTCCTCTCATTCAATATACCGTCATTCCTTCATCTTTAGATTGCCAAGACACGAACATCCCTAATTATTTTTGGCTACCTCCATGCTGCTGTGTGCATACAAATCCATTATATAAATGGCATTTGCTGAGCTATCCCACAACACAGTGCTTTTCAAAAGAAATAAATATTTCATTATCTAATGCCTCTACAGTAGGAGGAACACAGTGCCTACCAACTCCATTTCACCCACATTCATATTCCCTTTGTTTGCCACTGTGCCTTTTCTTCCCGACCTCAGCACTGTAACGCAGATATGTCAGAAAATGGGGGGGGAAAAAAAAAGCTCACTGAAGCCTGACAGGTGACTACTTTGAAACCCGAAATAAAATATAAACAAAATCTTCTCTGCCTACTCTGCAACCCCTGGCTTTAAGTATGCGATTCTACCCTCAAGCAAGGTTGCAGCGGTTGCCATGCTAGCCACTGCTCTCTAGCACAGGACACTGTTGTTTACTGCCTCATTTTTAATCACAGTGCAAGAGCCTACAGAGCAAGTTGAAGTGAGCTGAGGTTTGAAATGTACACAGCATCCTGAAAAACTCGCTTAACAATTGCATCACCAGGAAGCCTTTTACACAGAGCTGTGTTAAAAGGTGCAATTAAAATTGAATTACGCAGTTTCCCTCCTGACTTTCCCAAGAGGACAATGTTTTCTTTCATTCACTTCTATAGGTCGCTCTGACAAGTTTCGACATGCTCACTTGTTCAAAGTCTAAAAGGAACATGCACACATACGTAATAACAGGAGGCAAAGCTTTGTTCAAGCAGTGTGCTGGTGCAGACCCTGGTACCTCTCTGGCTCAACCTAAACCAGCCTCCTATCTCTACAGGTACAGGAACAAAAAGTATCTGGCAAAGAAGGAAATGATTTTAGCTCAAAGTGACTGTCCCTCATTTATTCACAAAGGACAAATGTGACTCTGAAACATAATGGAAAGACTTGCTTGCAATAAAACATGGGTGGGTTAAAGCACTGTTTGAATACGACACAGTTTCTTTAATTAATAGCAGCTTAAAAATATCCGTGTTGTTAGCTTAAGAGCACAGCTGCTTTGACAAAGACAATGGCTCTTTCATGTCACTGTTTCAACTGATGCTTACAAGTACCACCTTCCTAGTCAGTATATACTAAATCAAGCTCCTGCCCACAATTAAGCCATATGTTACTCTTGTGGGTTTTGTGTTATTTTGTTGCCGTTGCTTGCTTTTTTAATAAAGAATAAAAAATAAAAATCAATTTAGCTGAACAAGAAAAGCTTTTTAACTGTTAAATCATCAACTGAGTCAAAACTGCCTACGTAAGTAACTTCTCAGAAAGAAGTGGTCAAGATTTCAATACACAGCCTGCATCACATTACAGAATAAAAAAGGCTATGCTTCAAATCTCAAGCAGAAGAGTCCTCCCTCCTCTCCAGACTAAAGTTAGCTCACAGCAAAAGAAATTTTAGAAAAGTATCTTTAAGCCACATTAACATATTCAAATCCTTCTTAGCACAGCTGCCTCGAAAGCTGCAAATCAGACAGGGGGGGGGGAAGGAAGAAAACAAGTTCAGATGCACGCACAGTCAGAGAAAGGAAAGCACATCCAGGAACTAAAATGTAGCTTTAAAATCACAACTTACGCTTCTGAAGTAGGTCTCTGTTTGTAATAGATGGAGCACGAGCTATCACTGCTCAGAGGTCTGAGCACTGCACACAGGCACCGCATTTTGAGAGCGTTGTGGCACCGCTCAGCTCAGCAACCCTTCAACTGCTGCTTTCAGTTCCCAACTTCTCAGCTGAGCTCCTCACTCAAGGACTGCTGATCAGCGTATGACATCAGCCTGCACACTTGCAAGCTCAGAGATGCACATAAATGGGGGAGGCACAAAGAGCTTTCTGACTCAAGCTGATCTGTATTCCATGCTCCAGTTACATGGAGTAATTGTGATGTTTCAGCTTCAGAAGCTTTCTCCAGACTGCTAAGCCAGTGATGCAAACACAGAATATATGTGGGACTCGTTATCTAAAAAACCTGAAAGATCTAACAAAACTAATACTTGAACAAGTGGAGTTCTGCAAATAGCTCCCAGCTATTCTTCCAGCTGAAAACTGGCTCAGAACTTATTTTACAATAAAAGCAACAGAGATTACTGATTTGAAGCTTCTTCTTGAGCAAAATATTTTTCTTTTAGAAACATTTTTCATCCACATTGTTTAAATAATGCCATGTTTACTTTAAATGAAAGT